TTTTGTAAAATGAAAACAACTTTTTAAAAAAGCTCGTGCTTAACTCCTTAGAAAAATCAATCCGATGACAGCCTCTGAAACGCACAAGAGTGTTATTGGAAAAAGTTTGAAAGATTCGAACTCCAAGTGGCCAGAACTGTGGGATCATAAGCGCTTGTTCTTTTAAGTCGAGCAGGCACCTTGTTAGGGCAAACCTAGAAACGAATGCACGGAGTTCCCATGATTTTCAATACCCCTCTATATTTTCTCAAAGCAACTAGTATCCCAAGTACACTAATGGCCTCTGCAACTCACACCCCATACGCACTCCTTACTGCCCTGCACCCTGACTAAAACGCCTTCTCTTCACCAACGTACCCCTTACATAGTGGACATACCACTGTTACCTCCACAGACTAGGCCCTGCCCTTGCCCACCTGACTTCCCGCGATGCCCAGGCCGGTGGCTCAGAAAATCAAGGAGGCAGATGGGAATGAAAACGGTGGTCCAGGTTTCTGTGATCGCTTGTCGTGTCATGTTTTCAAAACTGAACACTTGTTCAACTTCTTGCTGCCCACCTGTACCTGTAGTCTGAGAATCCACCTCATCTCTGAGCCAAGCCTCAGTTCTCAGGTAGCCCGGGCGTCCCCATCCTCCACTCACCCAGCACCTTCTGTCTCCTCTGGCGTCGACGTTGTCCGATGACAAGGAGGAAGACGACGAGGAGGAGGAGCAAAGCGAAGGCTACAGAGAGACCGATCAGAATGTTCAGGTAGCTTTTCAAACCTTCGGGACAGAAACAACAGCATTCCTTTCACATCGTGGATAAGCTAAGAAGGCCTGCTTGACTGGACGCCCACTACGTGCTAGGCACATGCTGGGTTCTTTGCAGTCACCATTTAACCATCACAACAATCCTGTAACATACGGTCGGCTCTTTCTACCCCATTTTACAGATGTGGAAACTGAGACCCAGACAGGTAAGCCCCTCCCACCCGGGCAGTAGTGGCAACGCTGGGATTTAAACCCAAGACTGTCTGACCCCGAGCGCCTTGCCTTTTTGTTGTTGTTTTGTTTTTCTACTTTCCCACCAGATCTGCTTCACCTTATCTAAGTGCTGATGGGGGTGGTGGTGGTAGGTGCCATGGTCATAGCGACCTTAAGAGCAACAGACCTGAAACCTGCCCCGTCTCATGTCACCTCCCCGTCTCCACCACGCTCACGTCCGTTGTTACAGTCACTCTGTCAGACCATCTTGACGAAAGTCTTCCTCTCTGCCTCTGACCCTCCACCCTTCCAGCCTGACGTCCTTTTCCAAGGACCGGCCCCTCCTGGCAACACGCTCAAAGGATGTGAGATGAAGCGTCACTGGCCTCGCCTCGAAGAAGCTCTCTAGTTCCACTTCCTCTAAGACCTGTTCTGTTTTAGGCAGTCCGTGCGGGGTACGCCATACTCTTCCTCAACACCACAGTTCGAAGGCATTGATCTTAATGATTGTCCAACTCTCAGGGGCATGAGAAGCAACTGAAAACACCGTGACTTTGACCAGACGCACCCTAGTCTCCAATGAGCTGTGTGAGAGAATTCCGAGGGCTCCCTCAGTGATGCAGTTAAGTGCTTGGCTACTAACGGAAAGGCTGCCAGTTTGAACCTCCCCAGAGGCACCGTGGATGGCAGGCCTGGAGATCCGCTCCTGAAAGATCCCACCTTGAAAACCCCACAAAACGGGTATATGCTCTTCACGTGTGAGTCAGAAACACTTCATACAGCAACTAACAACAACAGGGAAGGTTCATCAGAGCGCTTCCCACAAGAGGCTGCAAGAATGAGTGAAGAGACTGCAGATAAGGCGTGCAGAGGGATGAGGGGTGGAGGGCGATGGGAGCCACCTGCCACAAGGCAGAAGCCCACGCGTGGAGGGGCATTCCCAGGCACCTGCGGCATCACGAGGTGAGAAGGCTGTGCGTGTCACACTGGGTGACATTGTCAAAGGACGTGAAACCACCTGATCCAGAGACACCTCCCACACAGACTGTGAAGAACCGAGCTCCTCCTGAAAACCAGGGTCCTAATCCAGTACTGTTCCTTTGTGCACTCATCTCCTTCCCCGGGATAACGACGCCACGTGGTGATAGGCCTGTCCAGAGCCACTGCTCTCAGTACTGCCATCCATACGGACCGGGGGGCCCCGGAGCTTGCCTGTCACCCCACCTGCCACTGGGGATGGGGGTGAAGTGGGACTGAGGGGCTACTTGGCTTCTCTCGTCCATGACCACTACCAAAGTCTGTTCCTCCTGAAACCAGAAAGTGGTCACTTAGAGAAAGCCTTGAAGACTCAAATTGGGATGGTGACCATTTCCCTGCTTAGCCCAGAAAGCAAGTTACCCTCCCTGCATCTCTGAGGTGGTAGAAAGAGTTCAGGACCCCATGTTCCCTATTTCTCTGTTCTCCCCCACTGCACCAATGACTCAGTGTCACCCGCTCGACATAGACAGACTGCAAGAGCTTCTCTCTCTCAGAACTGAAAGGTGCCTTGGGATCTCAGCCAGGATTTCAGAGAGACTGTGTGTCCCAGATGTTGCTGTTGTTACGTGCTGTCAAGTGGCTTGTTGTAGCGACCCTATGTCCAATAGTTCTGAACCCTGCTCTAGCCTGAGCCAACTTTATTGTCTCTGACACACCTACCCTCGTTACCCCAGTCACTGAGTCAATCCATCTCTTCGAGGGGCTTCCTTTCCTGTGCTGTCCCTCCACTCTCCAATGCATGATGTCCCTCTCCAAGGACTGGTCCCTCCTTGCAACATGCAAGTATGTCAGACAAAGCTTCAGAATCCTTGCCTCCAAGGAGTACCTTCTCTAGAACGAACTTGTTTGTTCTGCTAGCAGCCCATGGTATAGTCAATACTCTTCTCTAGCACCACAGCTCAAAGGCATCCACTCTCCTTCTATCCTCCCTAGTCACTGTCTAGCTTTCTGACACATAGCAAGTAATTGCAAAGACTATAACCTAAGGGTCAGGCACACCTTAGTCTCCAGACTACCATCGTTGCTCTTCCCTACTCTGGAGAGGTCCCTGACAGCTGCAAAGGGAATTATGCAGAATTATCATCAGGAAACACTCATCCACGCGAGATGCTTCTCAATTCCTTCTGAAGCAATGTCCCTTCTGCACACACCGCCTGGCTCCAACAGCGTGGAGAGAAGGAGGAGAACGTGGACATTTCCTGGCGGCCAGGACGGTGAAGGTAAAGGACTGGAGTGGGAGCTCTATCTCCTATTGTCCGGGCAAATCTTCCTCTCACCTACACCCCTCAGGATACCCTTGTGCTTAGCCATCACCCCATCCGTCACCCCATCCGTCACCCCACCCATCACCCCATCCACCACCCCACCCGTCACCCTGTCACCCCATCCACTACCCCATCCATCACCCCATCACCCCATCCATCACCTCATCCCAGCTTCAGAGTCCCTGACAGAGTCCTGTGGTCACCTCCCCAACCTGTGACCAACTCCCCAGGGCCACAGACATGGACGAGTATTGGATCTAGAAGTCAGGCCAGCTGAGGGGTTCCCATGAAAGACTTGGGTGAAGGACAAAAGCCTCTGACAAAAGTCCTTGTAACTCACCAGTCGTTGCCCTGGGCACTGTGGGTGTGTGGCTGGGACCCCCAGAGAGTCCTGTAGGAAGAACAAGAAGACGCAGACATGCTGATGTTGCCCCACGATGTCCCCTTGTCAGCTCAGTTTCCTCCTGTGTCCCCAGACTCTCCCGGACCCCACCTGGCCCCTTCAGCACGCATGGTGGTGACTGCGTGGAGGAGAACCCCAGTGACTTCCTTTATGCTGAGAGGCAGACCCTCCTGTTGACTGTTCTTCAGAGGTCACACACACACACTTGCCAACACCAGACTGTCCTGGGAGCAGAGCCCTGACGACCACCAGCACAGAGTCCAACACGATGATGAGGATGGCTCACCTGGCGTCACCGTCTCCAGGGGGCTGCTGCTGGGGTGGGACAGCACGTAGGGGGACGTGTCCGATGAACCATAGCATCTGTAGTCCCTCCACTGGGCTGAGGTCGCAGGACTCAAGGTGAAGGTGGCTTGATGGACTTGACCTTGCTGCTGGGCTCTCACACGAAGGGGCAGATCTGATCCTCTCTCATTGCACAAAAGGAAAGTGTCCACTCGGTTTGATGACATGCACTGAAGGGTCACGTTCTCTTCTGAGGTCACTGGAAAGCCCGCGGATACCCTGAGGATGGGTGTGAAGGGGAGCTGTCCTAGAGAAGAGAAGGAGACGTCAGGGCTGCCCCGTGTCCACCTCTGACCTGAGCTGAGGATGTTACAGTTTAGACGATGTAATCTTTCCTCTTGTCGCTATTTCCTGGCATTTCTAGACCAGAATATTCCTCCCTCATAAATCTCTCTCTCTCTCCCCCCCTCCCCAGCCTCTGTTTCTCGCTCTCTCTCTTTCTCTTTTTCTAATTGTCTTACAACTCCACAGTCACTCACCGACTCTCACCCCCTAAAACTCTCCATGCAGAGTTCAGAGGTTCCTCACCTGAGACCAGGATGTCCACGGACTCACTGGGGGGCGACCACTCTTGGGAGAAATTGTATCCACCATGGCATCTGTACCGGCCCCCATGGGTGTGGCTCATGGGACCCAGGAGGAAGTCAGCCCGAGACAGCCCAGCCTGGGGCTGCCCAGAAGGAGTCTGGGAGGGGTGCAGTGTCCCCTCCTTAGACAGAGCAAATCGGTCATATCTGACATCAGAGTGACACGTGAGGGTCAGGCTCTCTCCAGAGGCCACAATGGGGCCGTGATGGGCCCAGAGAGAGGGCTTCCTGTACAGTCCTGGGAGAGAAAGACAAGTGATGGAAGTGAAGAAACTGGTTCTTCTAAACAACTCTCCCCTTCCTGCCGGGGTTTCCGCGTCAATGTTTTTGTGTCTGTGTCTCTGGCTCAGTTTCCAGGTAGTCTCCCCTCCCTCACTGTCCTTCCTCTCTCAGGCCTTAAGTCATTTGAGAGCGAGGCCCTGGCTCCTCACCTGTGTCCGGGAATTCCAGGATGTCACTGGAGTCCGACCACATATAAGGCTGGGTCCTGAAATACCCATAGCATCTGAATGTCCGCCTGTGACTGGTCACAGGGTCCACAGGGAACACGGCCTGATAACGTCCACTGGAGAGTTGCTGTGAGTCCAGGGTCCAGGAGCGCCTGGGGTCTCCCTCGTCCAACAGAACAAACCTATCAAATCCCAACCGTGAGCCGCACTGGAGGGACATCTTCCCGCCTGGGGCCTCCCCAGGGACGGGAACGGCTGTGAGGGTGGGTTTATCAAAGTCTCCTGGAAGAAAAGGGGGGAGATGTGATAAATGGGGTCTCGGATCTCCTTCCAGATCACCCTGGGCTGCGCTGTGAGAGGGAAGACACCTGTGAGACCAGACCCCTCCCCACAGGGCAGTCCTGAGGCGGGAACCACAGCGTCCTCTCACCTGTCATCACCAGCTCCAGGACGTCACTGCGTGCTGAGCATCCGGACTGAGTACAGTACTGACAGTGGTATCGCCCTGCATAGTCCACTGTCATGTGTACAATGAGGAACTTGGCCTTGTCTCTGGGCTCCAGTGGCTGCTGCGTGTCCCAGGGTTCTGGGCTTCCTTCTTTGCTCAGAAGGTACCTCTGAGCCTCCAGGGACGCCTGACACCAGATGGCTCCTGGATGCCTTGAATAGATCAGAGGTCTTGGCTCAGCCCAGAGGGTGGGCTTGGGGAGGGTCTCTGGAAGGGAACACAGTGGACTTGAATGAGGTCGTGTCCTGGCCTCAGTTCCTTCTCCTCAGCCCAGCGTCCTCATGTGTCCCCATTACCCAGGAAGATCTGGAAGTACTCACCATGCTGTGCTCGGATCCTCTGACTCAGACTGAAACCTGGAAGAGAGACCCACATGAGAGATATGTCCCCAACACCAGGGCAAGTCCTCTCCTGCCCTGTTGCCTCCTGAGGTCTGGGGTCAGACCAGCCCTGGCTGTGACCCCAGAACCCCTCCTTTGGTAGCTCCCCTCATCTTCCCCACATCTCACCGAGGCACAGCAGCGACACGAGGCCCACTGTCATAGTGTCTCTGCTCTGTGTTTATCCTATGGTAGATGAGGGAGACTGCAGCTCTCGGCAGGACACACGGACGCACAGTTGTGTGACACTCTGAGCATGTGCCCTGTCCCTCACGGGGCTGTCACGTCAGCCACCCCACAGGAAGAGGAACAGCTCCTCCCAGCAACCCCATCTCAGTTCCCCAATGCGAGTCTGAGTGGGCACAGACAGAAGAGAGGTTTCTCCTGATCCCAGCTGGTCTGTCTGAGCGTCACCCATCTCAAAAAGGACAGACAGGTGCATCCACTCTAGAAGGCAGCTTGGCATTTCCTCAAAAAGCTGAACAAGAGAAATGCCATACCACGCAGCTATTCCACTCCTTGGAATACACCCCAAGAAAATGAGAAATGAGACACAAACGGAGATTTGTACCCCAATGTCCATAGCAAAGTCATTCACCCTCACAAGAACATGGAAACAGCCCAAATGTCCAACCACAATCAAATGGATTGAGAAATTGTGGTCCATTCCCACGATGGAATATTACGCAGCACTCAGGAGCAATGATTTTGAAAATTACTTCATAACTTGGAAGGGACTGGAGAGCATTATGCTAAGTGAACTAACTCAGTCCCGTAAGGACAAATACTGTATAGGGCCCCTATTGGAGGAAAAGAAGGATAACTAATAAAATGTGTATGAGGACCAAGGAGGCGGAGTGTAGGGGCAGAGGGGTGGGGATGGGCAGCGGGGGTAACCATTGGGTCACACAGTCTGATGGGCAGAGGGAGGGGTGGGTGGTGAGTAAAAGAAATGGGAATGGTCCAATGTGAAAATCAATGTGTACGAAATTTGCGAGCAAACCATTATAAAATAAAAATTAATTTCATAACAAAAGGCCAGACACAGAGCTCAACAGAGCTGGGTCCCCATCCTGAGTCAGCCCCTGAAATCGCAGAAATCACTTTCCTTTGCTGAACTTCTTTTGTTTTCCCCACTCCCTAGCCTTCCTCGCCAGCATGTCATTCCTGGCTTCTTCCCATCTCCGGGCGCCACCTGGAGACGCTTCAGGGGGGTTTGTATTCACACTCTTGTCTTATCTCAGTTCTGCTGAGACCGGCTTTAAACAGCTGTACAGTTAGGGTCTAGTCGCACCGGGCTGTGAGCGCAAGCAGCAATGCGGGGAAGCATGGGAAGACATGATTCTTCTGCCCTCACGCTGAGGGTAGATTGTTTTGTTTCCTCTGGTTTTGTTTCTGTCTTGAATTCCTCTTCTTCATTTTTACAGCATCCTTCTCGCCCTCCACAGTCCCCGGAGCAAACCTGCTCGTCTCTTCCATCTCTCTGGAGCTCCCTGTGTCTTGGGTAACATTTCCCTTCTCCTCCTCCTCCTCCTCTTCCTCCCCTGCTCCTGTCTTTGAGTTTAGGGAACAGAGAGTTGCATTTGGGCTCTGACTCCAGAATGTGCTAAGAATCTATGACTTGATGGCGTAGAAAGAACAGCTCATTAAAAGGAGGAAACAACTCAAAGAGGGATTGGTGAGAAGCCAGCCCAAACCACAAGCCCTGGGCTTCCAGCCTTAGGGTTTTGAGGAAGTCCACGGGCACACACCATCTCCTTCCCCTGTGTGTCAGTGCACAGATCTTTCTAGAATTTAGAAAGGAAGCCAGAGAGGCCCTTCGAAGCAAAGGTGTGAGACTTTCTTTGGCCGTGTTAGGAGGAGGGGCCAGTCCCAGGAAAGGGAAGCCATGATGGGGAAAACAGAGGGTCATGGAGAGATAGAGGACACTTCCACAGGATGGGCTGGCCGCGACTTGTGACAACGCGCCCGCCTTAGCAGAGATTGTAAACGTGCTGGTGCAGGAGATGACAGGGTCTCCTTCTGTCGTCCCTGGGGTCGCTCTGTGTTGGAGCTAACTCAATATAAATTAAAAATAGTTGAAAAATAGTCATGTGTGTGCCTAAGGATGGGGAGGGAATGTGTCTCACTTTTAAAACAGAAATGGAGTGCAGGGTGTAACAGGGAAGAACCAGAGACAGACTCTGGGGTTGGGAAGCAGCTCTCTGGAGGAAATGTAACTGGAATAGAAAGATTTCATTGAAAACTGGGAGCTTTGCACAAATTATATAGAGTGGAGGAGGAAAGCCCAGGCTTCACCTTGGCACCTGCCGGCCCAGCCCAGTAGAACACAAAGTGTCTGGCTCCCTCACGTGGCTGGAAGCTGTAACACCTAGTAGTAGCCTTTGCTAAAAAATACAGTTACGCTAAAAAATCAACTTCTCTGCGCATATACACTAGAATCACAATTTTTTTTAAAAAAAGTAAAAACACAAATGGAATAAAACAATAGAACCTGCAGAAGGTTTGCATGCAGATCTGATGTATTAATATTTGCATACAATCAAAAGCAGAGTAGTCTGGAGACCTAATGGGTAAGGAGATGTGTTGACAACTCAGAAGGTTAGCGGTTCGAATCCAGAGGCTGCTATTTGGAAGAAAGGCAAACAATCTCCTCCCATATGATTGACAGCCACTGAAAATCCACTGGACACTGCAATCCCAGAGGCGCACGGTTCGAATCCATCAGATGCTCTGCCGAGGAAGGAGGGACAATCTCCTCCTGTATCAGTCAGATCTGATTTGACGGTACACGCACACACACAAATAATAAAATTTT